AGTATTTGGATAACAAATTGAAACTTAGAGCTATTTACTATAAACTTATTGGATTTTTCTGTTCTGCCTCGATATATATATTTATATATATTTGCCCATTTCTACTTTGTGTCAGTTTGTCGGGCAGCCATAGATTTTTCTTTTTTTTTAAGATTTTTTTTTTTTTTTTTTTTTTKCTCGCCTTTAGCATTTGCATTTAGCATAGCTCTTTTTTTTATAGCAATTCATGTCTATTTGGACGCTTTTGTTTTTGCCCGTTTGCATTTTTTTTATTTTTATTTTTATTTCGTCTATGCCAGTCTTTTACTTTGTTTTCATTCTTTTTGCTTCTTCTCAAGCGGCGGCGGCGGCGTCGACGTTGCGTCGTCGCCAAGTGAAACTGAAAATTGCAACTAAATGCCGTGCTCATCACTTGTAGACACTTTAGAATGCGCTGTGTGTATCTATGAGATACAAAGATACGCGCGCACTCAGACAGAGCGACAGACAGACGGAGACCAGACAGCAAATGAGACGCAAATGGAATGTTGAGGTGCTGCACACACACACACAGACACGTATAGGCGTATAGTACGAAAAAGTCAACATTACGATCTATTCTACACTTGATTAGAAACTGCCTAAAGATACGCCGGATTCTGATTGGAAATATATAGAGTCAATATTTTCGAATCGCGACAGCCAAATGAGTTCTGTATTTACAGGTAAAAAGTCTTTGGTGTCGATGGCTTGGACTCGGGACATGGGATGCCCGTAACACACTCCCAGCAGCAGTCGGGAAATCGGCCTTTTGTATTGACCAGATCGAACTCGCAATTGGCAAAGTTCACAGGTGATTGACAGCTGCAAAAAAGAGGGGAAGAGAGAGAGAGAGAGAGGGGGAATGTATGTAAAGGAAAGCGATAACAGCAACCATGCCAGACTTACAATTGATAGAGGCCATTGCCGTCGTCATCCTGGCAGACAAATATACCGCACGTCTTGTCATCGTTTATCTCCTCGCCCGCATTGAGGTGACCCATCGGAGTTTGGCAACCCTTCTTCAACTTCCTGCCAGCCTCACCGCCCTTCTCCGCGGGCACCATGTGCACCAAGGCGTTGCCACACATTATCAATCCGAGCCAAACTAGCCAAATGCCGCCAACGTATTTCATGGCGAGAAACCGTTAGCTGCACCGCCTCCAACTGTGGCCAATACCATCGACTAGGCGGCTTTTATAGCCAATGCGATTACGTGCAGGCGACATGGATCCGTTTTTTGTGTACAAATTCATAAACAAAATTCGCTTACACTCGCCTTTCTCAGAGCTCCGATCGATTGCTCAGTTTATTTTTCAATAAATAATAATAATAGAAACCTCTGGAGAAAAACAACAACAACACAGACGAAGTTGTCAATCGAATTCAGAGACAAATGTATTCCAGCTACAGCTGCACATCCCTAGACTGGAATTATGAATGAGGTTTGCTGGTTGGGGATCGGTTTCATTGATGCTGCGGGAACAGTTGGACACAGCGATTTCATTGAGATCAAAATCAAAGCACGCCAGGCAACTGGCTGGCATCTGAGCAAAGTACCTCGTCCAGTTGGACTTGTAATATCTGTCTCCATGCGAGTACAAAGCGCATGCCTTTGGCTACTGCTCGCAATGTCTGTGCTGTGCCCCAGGATGAACAGCCGTGGCTATCGAGTCGTTAAGGTAAGTGCTTTCTTGCGAGTGGCGTCCAGTCCAGCCAATTGGTCCACACTGCATCCACAGCGGCAGCAGCGCAAGCGTATGGCCTGGCCGCCCAATCTCTACTCGGACTTTGCGGCTATCGCTGGTGCAATTGAGGCCGAAGGTCCCTCGCTATATCCGTCCGTCGATGGCTCGGATAGTAGTGGAGGCGGTGGACCGGGAGGTGGAGCCGGAGGCGGATCTGGGAGTTCTGGTGGCAAGGGAGTGGGTGGCAATTGCAACGAGGACATCACCAAGGGCTGCGATGTCAAGAAAATCTTCTTGCCCGGCGATCCCAAGCAGAAGAGCTCGAGCATAGCCGTGAAGGCGGCGCAGGATGCAAAGGCGGCCAACGAGGCGCAACATGCGGCCGGCCAAATGGCCGCCCAGCACATTAAGCAGGAGCTGGCCGAGAAGGCCTTCCAATCGGCCAAGGCCGCCGAGGCGGCGCTCACCGGCAAGCAAATGGTTGTGCAGCAGCTGGAGCTGGAGATGCAGGAGGCCCACGCCGTGGTGGAGGAGGAGTCCGCCTCGCTGCAGAACACGGAGACCAACATGAATGCCGCCATAGAGGCAGCTCGTGCGGCCACTAGTCAATTCGAGGCACTCACCGCCCTCCACAAGACGGTCAAAGACAACCTGGCCAACATACAAACAGTTGCGCTCGGCTCCCAGCAGGAAATGACCACCAAGGTGCAGCTGCTCGAGGCGGCCAAAAACCGCCTGGCCACGCTCCAAAAGCAGCTGGACAGCGCACGCGATGACTACGAGAAGACCAAGCAGGCGGCCTATCGGGCGGCCTGCGCTGCCGTCGAGGCCAAGCAGAAGGCGGCCAGCAGCTACCGAAAGCGGCGAAATCAACGGACTTTCAGCCACCAGCCACTCGATACACATTAGCCAATTCTCTTATTTTTATATACCTATATATATTTGTATATGCTGTATTTCATGTATTTAACTGTAGGAAATTATATATGGTTTCACGTTCTAATTGTCAACATTACTATGCGGCATCGATATGGAGTTAATCTTTCTATCTGGGCTGCACATATACAATGAGGCTTTGTCATCCAGTTAAGTCATTCAGATATCTTTTGCCATGCACTAAGAATATGACTGGAAACATCGGATATATATTTGGCTTTAGAACTAGGATGTAATATTATTTATAGTACTAGACCAAAAGCAACCAAATTTGTTTAGATCTTTTCTATAATCTCCTTTAGACCTAGAGCACTCAGGATATGGCAAGATAGTACTTTACACCTTCTCTCAAGATAGTACTTTACACCTTCTTCCCTTTTAAGCCTAGAGCTCCTGAGCGCTAAAAATAAAATTGAAGATATAGCACTTTAGACCTTCTTTAAGGATAAATCGAGTAATATTCTCCGTAGCTTCAGATCTATAATTCCTAAGTATACATACACATGCATAAAACTTAAAACTTAAAAGTTCAAGTCTAACGATTTATCTCCAAGTAATAAGACTCGTCCCATAGTCTCGAAGTAAGTCTTACATATATTAGAAATTAGCTCTATATTCTTTAACAACTTTGAGTATTTTTTCAAGGCTAATTATGAAAACTTAGCTCGACTCAAATTGAAAACCTCTCAAATGAATTGCTTAGAAGCGAACGCGTATTGAATGCGAATAAACACAAATAATAGATTAGTTTCCTTAGACACTTTACATCAATCAATTGTATCAGTTTTCTCGCCAGGTGCCAAAACACCTGTCGCCCATTGGTGCGGCGAGAATGCATATAAAAGCCCGTGCAGCTGGCCACGAAAATACAGTTACATTTGTTGCATGTGCCAAACGAGATCATGAACTGCCTGAGCCTGAACGTGCTGAGCCTCTTGAGCTTCGTGTGGTGCGCCACAGCGTTAGTGCACTACCAGAAAATGGACAAGGGAAGTAAGGATAATATACGGGATCGAAGCAAAATGAAGCAAGCTCTCAATGAAATAAACACGTGTTTTAGCCAACGGATGCAAAACCAAACCGGAGCCAGATGCCAAGCCAGATGACAAAATTATCGAACTGAAAGTGGGTGGAGTGTTGAAAGATAAAAACACCTGCGGCATCTATGTGTGCCAGAACATACATGGCGATGCATTGATTCATTAGTAAGTCGATATCAAAGCAGAAGCTCTTAAGCTCACTTTTCAATTGCCATCGTACACGAAAAGCTGCCAGAAGCCGGTGCCCTTCGAAATGTGCAGCACGGACGGTGTGGCAACAGATACACCGTTCCCAGAGTGCTGCTGGAAGTGTGTAGGCTATGTGAGCTGTGATGGCCCGCAAGCGGCCGCACCACCAGAGAAAGTCGAATTATCACCCGAAGAACGACAAGGAAGAAAAATCCGAAAACTCGTCGCCGATGAAAATCCAGCGAAAAGGAACAAAAAGAAAACGAATCTCTTCAAACACAAAAATTGAGAGTATGAGCAGATCAATCATTATAAATAGGGTTAATATATAGTTAGCCATTTTTCGATCATGTAAAGTTTTTACTATCTTAATAAAACAAATTTAATTAAAATGTATACGACAATTTGGTTTTGTTTTCTTTTTTTTTTTTTTTAGCTACTAAAATTGATGATAGAAAACTGATGGAATTTCATAGATATACATATATTCCATTACAATGTAAAATAAGTATATTAGTTTTGTGATGTGTCGTGACACCAATAATTGTAATGTTTCAATATTGTATGGGGCGTGGATATAATTACTTACATTACAAGCGACTGACTTGAAAAGCTTGAAGTAAAAGTCTGCATCAGCTCAAGATAGACAATTGCTGCTCTTAGACTTGGTATTAAGTATTATGCAGTCTAAAATCGAAACTTCAGACTACATAACTATTTATTAAAACATAAAACAATCATAATATACATCAATCGGTGAATAGATAAATCATAAAGATCAATAATAATAGTAAAGTAATATAAATCAATCATATTAGCGATGCATTATATAGATAAAAAATAAAATAGATAAATTATAAATAATAACAATAAACTTATAATACATAGATCAATCAAAATACAGATCCAATATTATGTAGAGCATTAAAAATGAAGTCAAATATATCTATCATAATATAGATCCAAAACTATATAGATAAATCATAATTTAGACCCTATTACAATAGTTAGGTATAATACAAATCAAATTCAAAAGCTTTAAGCTCAAGATCAATAATTTGATAAATTAATTGTTTTGAACATATCAAATATATATTCTACGAAGCTAATATACAACATATTTTTGTTTTATCTATAATTTTCGGAGTTCATTGCATAAATTTGAACGAATTGTAAGTTTTTAATTGAATATTATTAAAATTGTTTTACTAAAACGTGAAAACAAAGTAATTGTGTCTCCGTTTTCCTTTCAATTTTAATATTTTTTGAAATCAATTGCTTTCCGATTTTTTGTCCCCTTTTTCGGCATGGTCCTCAATGCAGGAGCATCAGTAGCAGCATCACCAGGGGCAGCAGTAGTTTCACCATTACCAGTAGTACCGCCTGTTTCTTCGCAATTAGTATAAGCCACGCACTTCCAGCAGCACTCCGGAAACGGTGCTTTTGTGGAGACTCCATCGGTATTACACATTTCGAACGGGGCCGGTTTCTGGCAGCTGTTTGGTGTAAGATTTGGATTTGAGGATTCGATTTGGATGGGATTTGAAGAGCTAATTTGAGAGAAACTTACTAAAGTACTATAGCGTCACCCTCGGTATTCTGGCACACATTCACTCCGCACGTATTTTCATCTTTTGCAAATTCACCCACTTTTATTTCTCCTCCTCCTCCTCCTCCTCCTCCTCCTCCTCCTGCCGCACCTGGGTCTGGCGTTGCTGTGTCGTCTCTTGTACTTGGCTTATCTAGTTTGCCTGCTGCGGGCTTGGGCTTGCATCCGTTGGCTAAGACACGTTAACTTTTATTGACGCCTTGCTTGAATTGGTAGCCCTATACTCTCTTACCTCCCTTGTCCATTTTGGTGTAATAGACCAATGCATTGGCGTACAATGCCAGGCTCAACAGGATCAACACGTTCAGGCTCAGCTTCATGATGTACTCTCACTTGCCCAACTCTAACTGAATTAGTAGCAGTCATAGGAATGCCTTTTATATGCAATTTAGACGCCAACACCGTCCACTTGTGTAAAGAGGTGTTTTTGCACCTGTTAGGGAGATTCTTACAAAATATTACTGCAACGTACCTCCGTATAGTTATTCTGCAGAAACTAGGCTGTTATATCAACTAATTCTGATATGTAATTAATATAAAATTTGTTTTCAGCTTATAAACATAGAACTTCAATTTTTGACAAAGACACAAAATAAGAAACCTTGCTATAATCGAACATGCCCAACTAAAAGATATCTGTGACAGACTTTGATAAACAAACACCAAGACAAGATCTTCATCTAATACAGAATAGACAGACTGGGCTAGATTAGTATTTCAGAATATACTATACATTTTGTGGTATCTGCCACACCTCTCTCCTTCTGCCTGTTATCTACAATTTGAACAACACATTCCCTTTCCATTTAGAATGGGCTCAGAGTATAATAGAAAATATAAATCATATTTATCATGAATGAAAAGTTTTTGTATAGCAGTCGTAATTCATCGTATCATAGTTAATGCCCACAATGCACTGCTTAATCTTATGCGTATGCATGTGTGTGTGTGTGTTCAGGGTGTCTACTAGTCAGGCCCTCCCATATATAAATCATATAATTATTTTACTCTATCCACAGCGAATCTTATGTACCAATGAATCTAGCTACGCCTATGGGAATTATATCTTGCTTACCGATATACAAAATTCCTATATTATGTAGTTCTAATTAGTTATATTTATTGATTAATTGTATTGGGTTTTAATGTTTAATTTTAAAATATTAATTGACTTGATATAAATATATGTTATTTATTTTTATATTATTTGATTTTTTAAGGCTTTTTATTTTTGTTTTCTATTCTTGTTTTTAAGGCTTATATTTTCTTTGATCAGAACCAATTCAAATGGAAAAGCTGAAATGAAGAATAAATTGTTGCTCGTAAGGATCAGAAATGATATTTCGTGAACATTTTAGAGCTTCTCGCGCATCCCTCCTTGGAAATGCTCCGTTTTTAATTAGTTGCCACAGGGTGAATTCTCATGAGCAATGCACAAAAGAACGAGACGGAGAGAAAGGCGAGAGAGAGGGAGAGTGAGTGAGGCAAGGCATTGAATGAGATGAGACGCACAGACGCAGAAGCAGGTCCGGCTGGAATGGGCAAAGGGCTTTCGTTGGGAAGGGGCCACGAAATGAGGCAAGCGAAAAAAAAAATGGAAATTAAAAAACTACAGGAGACTTTTACGCATAGTAGGTACGCAGTGTGTGAAGTGTGTGTATGTGCTATAAGACGAAAAAGACGAAAAAAAAATTAAAAGAACATTGAGAACCGGACCTGACAATGATCTCCTGCTCATGAAACTAAAAGGCAGCGGCAGCAACGGCAACGGCAGCGGCTAAAGCAACAACACGCTGCTGCTCAAACCCAACAATTTGTGAGTTTCGGTTGACGATGACAGTGTGAGAGCCTACCACTCTTCTTCATACACACATACTCACACACACATAGATATATACACATATCATGCATGTATTTGCGCTTATGCTTAAAGCAAAAAATATGCCGAATGAGATATTTGGCAAACCTAATACAAATGCATGCTCACACATATGCCCAAAAATGTGTGTATGTGTGGGTATGCATACATTACGTATTGCTTGGACAAACATGTGTCTGGTGGCTTGTGTGTATGTATGTATGTAGCACAAATCATTTCTCAAGCTGTCCAAAACTATATCAATTAGGGTCTTTAAATATTGTCCAGTTAGGTGAGGAAGACAATTTGCGACCGCTGCTCGCTGTCTGCGCATTTCCCACCAAACAACGCTCCAAATCAAACCTGAATTAGTTAGCGGCGTGTGTGAGTATGGATGGATAGATGGATGGATTGGTTGATTGGGCAGGGTAGGGTACTGCTCTCATTAATTGAGTGAACATGTCGAAAATTGGTTGGATGGGAAGAGTTACTAGTTAGTCCATGATAACAGCACCTCGCTCAGCACCGAAGACCGGCTTAGAATAATGCTTACATTTAAAATTATGCAGCGTGTATTTCTTGTTTCCAAACATTTACAGAGCCAGCCACGCAGTGCTGTTCCGCATGCATGTACAAGCTCTAACATGCTCGAGTCGACGCACAGCAAGAGGAACGATCGAACGTAAAGCAGAAACCATGCGGTCGCAACATGTGTGCTGTGAGCAGGATGACTACAGCACGCCCCAGGCCGGCCGCAGTGTATGCGACGAAACGAGATGGCTGTAGTTTAGGGCAACAACATCAACAAAAAACAAATGTCAAACTAATAGAAATGCGACAACAAATAAAACGCACAGCGTATATAGTGAGAGGCGGACAGAGGGAGAAGGAATAGGTGCTCTCTCTTGCTCGCGTTCGTAGAACCAAGAGAGCACGATTCCGCGAATAATTGAATAACAGCAACTGCTCACGCTTGACTCTGCAACATGTTAATGTTAAGCTTAACATAGACGACAAGTCTGTTGTTATATTTGGAACTTAACTTTTATACTTTATATCAAACTTGTTTCGTTTTTACCGTTACAGTTGATCGTGTGCCGCGTGCCCTGTTGGACGTCTGCTCGGTCGTCTCTCGAGGCGTAAAAAATCAAATAAAAGAAATATATATACACTGGTATATATAAAATAAAATAAACTTCAATTATATGTTGCCACCCGGGTGGGTAAATCCGACAATCAAGAGAAATAGTTTCAAATAAATTGTAATAAAATACTAAAACAGGCGACTCAGCAGGAAAAGGCAATTCAAATATAAAATAAAATAAAAGTAAATACTAAAAACTCATACGAAAATCATCAACTGACATCAAGTGCGTAAATTGAATTAATCGAAGAGTGCTTGCAAACGAAATCAAATCCCCAAACAAATACAGTTAAATGCATCCCACTTTAAATTGAATCGCATTTTCAGTTTCTGTGTACGAGAATGTGTGTGTGCGTGTGTGTGTTCAGGATTTTCACACCTTTACACGGTGGCCAAGCGTGTTTCACACATTTCTTAAAATTAAAAGTAGAAAAAAAATCGGAAATTGACGCAAATTATATAAATATATAATTCGGACTTTGACCCTTGACACGTGCTCGATTGCAGCTTTAGCGCCATTCGGCTGTCACAGTTAAGTGTCACCAAAAAAACTAAATAATTAAAAGCATTTAAGCACATTTATAATAATGTTAATTATTATAAATTCTACGCAAATCGAAAGGCTGCCAGCACATTGATGGAAATAATTGTCAAATCATGGTCTGATAATTAAGCTAACTTTCATATGACGAGCCCCGTGATAAGGCAGGTAATCCCTAGGTCTAGACAGTAATAGATTTCAGTTAAACTTAAATATTTAAATTTAAGTATTTTCCAGAGAAAAGAAAAAATCCCGCCAAAATCAAGACATATTTCTTGGAATATACATATTCCATTTTAAGAAGTCCAGTATATGATTTTTCAAGTAATATACATATATAAAAAGATAAAATATTTTCTAAGAACATACATACAGTATGCACCAAAAACAAAAGAAATGTTATATTTTGTTAATCATTAAATTGAACTTTTCGGCATCTTAAAATTCAACGCCAGGCGCCAGTTAACATAAGCGTTGTCAAACACGCCAGGCACAGGTTCGATGTTGCGCCTGGGTCGACGCAACTTGTTGGCTGCTCTCAGAACAGTGCCATTGTGAGTTAACATTATATTTCTCTGCTATTTCAGTTTCCTACTTATGTATAACAAGTAATTAAAATAGTATTTATTCTGCTGCTCTGTTTCCTTTTAAATTATAACATCAAGTTCCAGCTGAATAACAGCTGGGGCAATAACATTCTTGCCAAACAAATGAGTTTGTTCAGCTGGTTCGATGTTGGGTTGCAAACGGTTGGATGTCGAACACTTGTGTATGTTAACATTAACATTCAGCTGTGCCAACCTCGCTGTTAGCTCWTTTCAAAAAGATTTTGAATTTCCGCCCGACTGTTTCTCAGTTTTTTATCGCGTTTCTCAATTCTTATTTGGTGCTTGATCAAGACGGTTAGCGCCACTGCCAGCCGCTGCGCGCCTAATGCGCACACGTGTGTGCGTCTATCTGAAATATGTGTGCGAGTGTGTATTTCCGGTGTCAAAAAAAAAAAAAAAAAGAAGCAAAGTGTAAATATTCAATTAACGTTTATCCATTACACAAATAGTCAATCGACGCTTACTCTACATATATATGCATAAATATATATTTAAAACAATTAAACTGCGCGCGCGTATGTGTGTGTGTGTGCTTGGCGTAACCAACTGACTGGCGCCAACGTCGTCGATTTAATTATAAATACATCAACAATAACAGTGCCAATGTTCATGCACACACACACGCGTTACTGTGAGAGTGTGTGTGTAGTACACCAACTGTGCACCATTTCAAATTGTTATACACGCTGGTAGGCGTTGCTTTTTTTAGCCGCGTCATATGCTCTCCATCCTCTCGCCCCGTGGCCATCGCGCTCGTGGTCTCCGGTCCAAAGTAGAATTTCGCCGTTGGCGTCGGAAACACACCCGTAAAATACAAAAAAAGAAAGAAACAAAAAACAGAAAGTTGATTGGTGTTTGGGTATTGGCATTCATATGCCAATATGTCACCACATAAACAAAATCGTGCTAAAAAAATAATTCAATAAA